CATTATGTTCACTATCTATTATGCTAAACAGTAAAGAAAAATTAGGGGACGTCTCAAATGTCCATTGTAGCATCCAGTTACCCAGTTTATCTACAAATCCGAGTTCAGCCATTTATATTTATTATTAGAGTAACTTAGTTTTCATCAAGTTATAAGGCAAAACCTGACTTACATAATTAAAACATTTGAGTGCAACGCGAATTAACATCTGTTTATTTACCAAAAGAATTCAGAACATGAAAAAACGCTCTGCTCCCTTTGATCACAGTCTAACAGTTACTACGTTCATGAAGGAGATATATAAGTGATGTTGAACAAAATGGTAAACGCTTTAATCAAATCTGTTTGAAATCCTTTTCAACATTTTCAAAATTCATTTTTATCAATTCAATGACCAGCCTTTTTAACAGATCTACGATGCATTCTAGTAAAGCCGGATATATGCTTAAAGAACGTTGGAAGAAATGTTCCAAACCGAATCTCTGAAGGGTTTGTTAAACATATACAGAGAACAGCATTAATAACAGAAATAATAAACCGAGGCCGTGAAGACACGAAAAAGCTTCAAGATCAAGAACAGTACCGTTTTTCTCCTTTTCGTATAGCATTAGCACTTGCTAATGATAATCCACTTTTGCTGAATATCCATACTAACGGAACAAATTCTTTTTCATTTGGAGCACATTCCTTGATACGTTGATAATGTTTCAACGCCAGGAGTACCTAGTATATAATTTCTCCTGGCTTAAAATAACATTGCTAACTGTAGTGAAAAGGTTGAAATGTGGAGGCCTTATGCGTAACGGAGGGTCCGTCAGTACCATAGGAGAAATGTACACAGAACATTGAAGAGAAATAGTATGCTTGAAGTGTAAAAATTCCAAAACTTCTCCGTGACTTGCAAACGTGCAGAAAAAAAGACGTAACGTTCTTTACACTAAAGGCACACGATCAACTTCCCGATTTTCTTGCAGCAGTGAGAGAACAATATCGATCGTTGTTAGTTGGGCGTGGCCTTTTGGACGTGAAATGGTACACTAATCTAAAGGGCTGTTCATTGTGTTTCCAAGACCTCGATCCCCTTTATAACAAAAGCAAACCGTCCGCACTTTCCATAGGTAGAAATCCCTGCCGCGGTTACATCTGTTTTTCGCCTGAGGTTAGCTCTAGCTTTTTCTTGACCGTCCTGATTTCCTGTCCAGAAATGATCCTCGCCACATAAACTAATGGCCTCTCTGAACTGATCAACTAGAACAGAACACAAAGTTCTTTTCAATACGTTTTTATCTTCCTTATACGCTTCCGAGGTATGGTTTTGTTGTTTAGGAGTGAAAATGAAATGTACTAAAAATTAAATCGTAGCTTTCGGTTGCACCAAATCCTATAGTTCAATACAGTAATAAAATCATCTTGTTTGCAAGATATCATTTTGCATCACAGGTATATTATTCGCAAAGTATTATAAACACAGCGTAAACAGGAGTACCCAACGAACTTTTTTCGCAAAATTGATTATACAATGTCGTAAACGCTAGCAGAGTGCTTTTACGTCAACCTATGTTAATATTTAACTTTCCTGGGAAAAAAATACCAGCTCTTCACTGCTAGCCAGCAAGACTTTCAAAAAATAAAAATCCCAGCCAGGAATCATGTTTGACGGTTTTTTGCCAGCCAGCAAGGTTAAAAAAAAGAAAAATTGCGCAATCCTACCAGCGTGAAACGGAATTCGGTGTTTGCCAGCCAGCAGTAGCACAAGCAAGTTATGAGCGAGCCAGCAGAGTTTCATTTAACACACATTGCCAAGAAAAACATAAAAGTCAGCAGGCAAGATCTGTTTTACGTCAAATTTACATAACAGAACAGAAGAGCGTATTTAACCTGTTTCAACCTTTTATCTAGTTGTCGGATTTTATTATTATTTTTTTTTAGATATAGGAAAAAGATCAATGTATTTTTTAGTATATAGGAGAAGGATTCAGTTACCATACAGGTCTCCAACGTAGTTATTTTGCCAAATTTCGTCTTGGTTTGGATCGAATTCATGAATTCCAGGATTCGTAAGAGTTGGAGGGGCCCTGTAGAGGAAGAAAACTCAGTTACTCAAAGAGGGGACTCTGGAGGAGGGGAGATAGATATCGGCAAAAAGACACGGCCTTCCGTTGACGTATATGTATGTAGTATGGGGCTGCCAATTTCAGGTTTATCTGTAGTACCATAAACGAGCTCCTAGGTGCTTTTGGTCTGTATGTTGTTATTGTGACGTTGAACTACGAAAATGTGATATGTGTAAGAATGTGGTTACAAGTATAATTAGCAAAGGCGTGTGGGTAGGGGAGGAAGGAAAAGGAGAACTATCGTCTCTTCAACCTCCGCCCCCCGGAACTTACACAAAAACCAAAGAACGGTTTTCTTCTGATACAGGCGACTCTCTAAACGGACATCTCTATAAGCTGAACATCCGTGAAAGTGACACGTAGAGTTGGTCCCTGCCTTTCTTTACTCTCTTTATTGACTCTCGATAAGACAGACATCTCTCTAAGACGGACACTTAGTATCGGTCCCTAAGGTGTCCGTCTTAAAAAAGGAGTTTACTGTATTGATCTGCTAGACCCCGCTGGATATCACACATATCAGTCGAATCTTCAATTACTCGCTTTTCATGACTTAACAAAAGTAACACCAAAGAACAGGTTTGGTTTGTCTGGTTGATTGCCTATCATTTGTCATTCAGGATCAACAG